CGAAAAGTTTGATTTTTCACAACGTTTAATGCAAGTTGTTGAAGGTTCAACCTTTTACAACATTTTCTGAACCCAAAAATTGAAAGTCTTGTGCTCTAGCAATACTGGCATCCACATGGGGGATGTGAAGTGTCTAATTATTGTGTTAATTGTGATGTAATTAGTAATAATGAAATTGTAAACAAATATACCTTTTTCAACCCAAAAGGAACGAACGTTGCAAAATGTGTCTACCGCAACATTAGACTATGTGAATGTTGCCATTAGTTAAAATAATTGAGATTTGGCAACATTTTTAAGTCTTTGTTGCTGATGTCACATTTTTACAACGTTTATTTAGTGCTGCGAAAAGTTTGATTTTTCACAACGTTTAATGCAAGTTGTTGAAGGTTCAACCTTTTACAACATTTTCTGAACCCAAAAATTGAAAGTCTTGTGCTCTAGCAATACTGGCATCCACATGGGGGATGTGAAGTGTCTAATTATTGTGTTAATTGTGATGTAATTAGTAATAATGAAATTGTAAAATGACACTTCCAAAAGCAAATTAGTAACAATAAAGTTACAAAATTTCCTTTTGTGTCATACTTCAAGGACTCAATTTCAATTTAGACTTTCTGAGGCACTTTAGTTCATGTACTTCTATATTACAGTTTCTTTCAACTTATATGTTTGGTAATGCATATAAGTTAGTATAATTTGTAAATTGTATGAATAATAAGTATATTTGATCAATTTAAATTATGATATAAACATAGTCAAATTTGCACTTAAAATAAAGTGTCTGACTAATACTTTGAAAAGGCAACTCCAGTTGATACTAAAATAATATCACTGAGTTCAAAATAATAAAATATTGACTCATCTTGATATTGCATAATTTTGTTTGTTAGAATTTTGGCTCGGCTTCTTGATTAAAAATCATGAAATATTTTGATTCAAATTGTAATTATAGGGCTTAAAAGAAAATTTTGAAATATATGGTAATATTATTATAATTGATTTTTCAAATCAAAGTACTTGTTCTATAGTTATTATTTCATTAGAATAATAAACTTCCTAGTTAGATAAAATTTCATCCTGATTGAAAAGGATCTGAGCGATTCTCCAAATTGTAATTCATTTTAGAATCTCTTTGTATTTAGATTGTTAAGTTGTGGAATTTGATCATTTTCACCATGCAGAGTTTATATGCGAATCGATCTTTAATTTTGGATCGACCTTGTGACGATATTTTAAAATGTTTCATGCTTGTAATTTTGGTTTTCCCTGTTTTTTTCTTATAAATAGGAAGCCTTCATTAGAGTTTATCCATTCATAAAAAAAAAAAAAAGAAAAAGCAAAGAGGTTAGAGAAAATAGTGTGCACAATTTTTCTATTATAAATGTCTTTTCATTATAATGAATTACGGCAGTGGGAAAAAATGACATTGTCACATTGATTCGAACTTCTATAAATCTTGCATATTTTTTTGTGTATTTTTCTTTATTGTGATTTTATTATTTTTGAAGGTATAAAATTAGAGTTTCTAATTCAAAACATAGATTAAAAGTATTATTTTGAGAAGTATAAAGAGTTGTTCCATAAAAATGTGCTTTTAAAAAATTATAAGCCTCTTCAACTAAAAATAATACTAGTCTATATACGCACCTCCTAAACTTTTAACAAATTTTGTGATCTCTATCAAGGAGTTTGAGGTTGTTTTGGGTGACCTACTCCTTTAAATAGTGCTAAAATTATTAGGCCTGTTTGATCCGTCAATGGAATTCGAATTCCACATTTTTCCAATTTTGTGCGTTTGATAAGTTTTAATTTCCATGGAATTCCATTTTCTTGCTTGTCTTGGGAAATTGTATTTTCTTGATTTTTAAGGATGGCAGGAATTGGTTTTCTAACTTACTGTTCACAGTTTTTTTTTTCGCAATGGAAATAAATTCTAAGAATTATTGTAAAAAAATATTTCACTTTAATTGGCAATTTTCATGTAAAACAAAGTCAAACGAACACCAAAAGATAGATAATTTTCTTGATTTTTTTTTTTGTTGGTAATGGAAACAAATTTCATTCCCAATACCACTAAAATCTATTCCTTTAATTGATAATTTTCATGTAAAATAAAGCCAAACGAACACAAAAAAAACTTTTATTTCAACATTTTCCACGTGAAAAATTATACCAATCAAATACAATAATTTACAATTTCTAGGAAAATAATTTCTAGGCAATTTAATTATCTGAAATTCGTTTTCAATTTCATCTTTGTAATCAAACGGATCATTGTTAATGATTAATCGTCTTCTTTCATGTGGGTTTCTTTTTTAATTCTTCTTCTTATTTAGCCCCCATTTGGCCCCCATTATTTCTCATTAAATTAAATTAAATTTTTCTCTCTTCTATTTTTAATCACACAATTTTCAATAAAATAATATTACACCTAAATTAAAAAATTTTCTTTTCTTTTCAATCACTTATTCTTAAAAAAAATACTATTCAAAATATTATAATCTCCAAATAATGGGGCTCAAACATGGGCTTATATAGTTATTGCTGAGAAAAAGTAAATTTATAACATATTAAATTTCCTAGTCTTCTCCACTATCAAAGTTGTCGGCTATTTTATATTAGTATTGGAAACAAAACCTAGTTGCCATGCCTCGAGGATTGACCTAACATGATGAACGGAGAGTTTATAAATCGGGTCTAGTGGGAATGGATAAGATCGGACAATTTAACAGGAGTTATGTTACACAAGCAAGGTGAATAAGTCATTGATTTGACAGTATGAAAAAATTATAAAAACACCCAAACAGACACTAACATGTAGACAACTATCACCTCTCTCATGTCACCAATCCTGACCAAATATGTTTACTCATTTGACAAATAAGTTTGAGTTAATCCTCAAGCACAGCTCTAACAGAGTAACAAGCCATCAAGTCAACTAGAATTTTTATGTTAGTTATTGTCATTGAAAAGAAGACCTCGAGTTATCACCAAATTGTATAGTTTAACTCATCAATGCTTCTCTAACGAGTTGAATCTAATCGTAGCGTTAATGTTTTAAAATTCAGACTGACCCGACAATTCAATTAGAAAAATACCTAATTTGTCTGTTAATTTGGTTTGGGTAACAATATTAGATCAATCTGTGATTGGCAAGATAAAAAAACCTTTTGGGAGTAATGGACATATTATTCTCGACATAACTTTGATCCATCGAGTGAGAGTACTTTCACATAGGACTACTGGGTCACTATTATAGACTTATGGAAATTACACAAAACTCAACTTTAAAAAACCTATGTTCTAAAATCAGATGGAAGGTTTCAATTTTCACAAATCATATTTTTCAACTCAAACCCTAATACATTTACCCAAGCCATAAATTATTTCTCCCTCTTTCTCCTCCTCTCCTCAGTATCCATTCTTCTCACCTTCTTTACCGTCATCCGTTCAGGAACCACCCTCATCGGCAGCAGCAAAGAGACAATCGTGCATTGTTGAGTCTCCTTCCTCCGGCGAGGTGCTGCGAGCAACAATGCCTTGCTGGTGGCAATGCTGTGGTGGTGGCTAGCAGTGTTAGATTTATTGCTGATGGTGATTGATTGTCCATCTGACGATGAGGTGCAAAGGTGGGTGTCGAATCTAGGGTGGTGGCTGGTGGTGATTTGTGATATTATCCTAATTAATAATTCAAAAGTTAAACTTTCAGATTTGTGATTTCGATTTCTTGCTTCCTGCAATTCATTTTATTTCTTTATTGCAATGCGTTTGTGTTGGGTTGGGGATAAGTTTGTGTTTTGATGTTGGGCTGTGTTGATTGTGGTAGTGGCGAGGGTGATGGTTCAGGTAATGGTGGGTGGTGGTGCTAGCGGTGGTCACAGGTGGTTTTTAGGTGGAATTTTTGGTAGTTTCTTTAGGTGGTTTGGTAGTGGTGACGATGGTGGTCGCGTGTGCGATTTCAGGTGTTTTGGTGCTACAACAATCTGGTCGCGATCCGATGAGCTAGTGGTAGTAGTGGCGTTGCATTAAGGTTGTTGCGAAGTCCAAGTCTAGTTGTGTGATGGCATTATTTTGGTTGATTTTTGCATTTGTGTGTTGCGTGATGGTCGTGGTTGGCAATGTGGTGGTATTTTTTTGCAATGGGTTGATTTGTTTGAGGCGGTGGTGGTTCTAGCGACGATGGTGGTGGCGCCGGCGATCTATGACCAACCATTTGGTTATTCGTGACCAACTAATTAATTGTGACCTAAATATTCAATACTTTGTGATCGAAAAAAATTGGGACCAATTAATTTGAAAATCTGTGACATACAAATAAACAGTGACTTGATTTGTTATCGATGTAATTAATTGTGATCAATTAATTTGATAATTTACAATGAATAAATGAGTTGTGACCAATGAAAGTTGATTATATAACCAATGAATAATCTATGACTTATAAAAAAATTTATTCGTGGCCCAAAAATAATGTGACCTATTAAATTTTTTATTTGTGACCGAAAAAAAGTTGTGAGCAATAAATTGATAAGTTGTGATCGATAAACAAACTATGACCTACAAGATTTTTGAATTGTGATCGTAAAATAATGTGACATAAAATTTTTGATTTATGACCAAAAAATAATAAGTAACTAATCAAATCATTAATTTGTGACTAAATTGTGCAGATATGTGGCCTAAATATAATTAATTGATTAAATCATAAGTAAATTTTAATAAAAATATGATTTTTGAAGTTTGAAACTTGTTTTCTTAATTTTGAAATGAGTGATACTTAAAATCTTACTTATGAAATTTTCCCTAAAATTTATGTGTCCTCAACAACTCGTTGATTTTATTAATAGAGGGTTTTTATTTGGATGAATTTCAAATATAAAAATACATACAACAAACACTTTTCAAATTTTACATTTTTTAGTAAGACTTTTATAAGCTTTATAAAAATATATTCAAATTCACAAAATCCATTAAAATAATTGAAAACACTCATTTATGAGAGCACCCCTAAGTCCTTGTCTGCTCGAGATCTAGATACATGGAGGAGACTGCACAAATCTTTGAAAAATTGCCCATCATCAACTTTTCTCTCATCCACCGTGATTCTGTCATCCACCGTGATTCTGTCATCAAGCAAATCCATGAAGCTTGTCAAAACTTTGGTTTCTTTCATGTAATCAATCTCTCTCTCTCTCTCTCTCTCTCACACACACACACACACACACATATTGTTTTAATCTCTTTCTTGTTCTTATATGTTACGGTATATGATAATCAATCCTTCTGTTTTATTGGGATTTAAATTTAGGTTATCAATCATGGGATCCCCGATTCAGTGCTTGAAGAAGCTTTGAATGTGAATTCAATGTTCTTTGACATGCCAATGGCGATGAAGAAGGAGCTTCTGTCCGATGATGTACAGAAGCCAGCAAGATTTAGTAAAATACGAGTTGGCTGCCATGAAGATAGGATGCTTTCGAGGGACTTCCTTAAGCTTTATGCACATCCTCTTCATCATTTTCTCAACTTATGGCCTTCAAATCCTCTCAATTATAGGTATAACTTCATTTTTTCATTTTTTCTTCGACAAGCTTTTATTTTCGAAATAGAAATATTACAGATTGAACCCCAACCTTAAGGGTCCCTCACCGCCCCTACCCTGGAGCATCGTAAGAGAGGTAAATTGCAGGTTATGCTTCCAAGAGTATAGGGTGGAAGGCTGCTTGTACACTTGCACTTAGCCAAGAGAAATGTTACAGGTGTAGGGAATTTTCACAGGCTGATTTACAAGTGGTGATGTGCAGAGTTGTTAGACAAAAAACAAAGTTAAATCAATCAAATTAAATTTTGCCACATCATCCGGCCCGTAAAAATTCCTTTTACGTGTAGAATTTTTGTTCTTAAAAACATAGATTTGAAGAAATTCAAGAAAGTTTCTAATTTTTTATTTTTTCCTAAATTTATATAAACTAGGACGTTCTAGAGAAATATTTTTTAAATATTGGGATGAAGATGGGACGAATGAACGTCATTTTTATTAATTTTACTGTTGTTTGTTATCGGTTGTCTTTAAAAAATTTTGAGTTTAGGGATTAAACTGAAATTTGAATCAAATGAGCTATTTGGTTTTTCATGAGACATGCAGTCATAGTAGCTTTTCTTTGGTTTTTTTTTATGAAAATGATTACATAAAATAATGGTTTCTTCTCTAATTTAGATCTAAATTGGTATTTAAAAATAAAATATTTATCTGTCTTCTTCTTCAACTTTCTTCGCTTCTAGTATATGTTTGAAATTGATATTCAACCTTTTGAAATTGATATTCAACCTTCCTAAGTTACAAAATTATGAGTAAATAGATTATACAAGTGGTTTAATCAATCAAAGAACGTGAAACGAAATTAAAGAATATAATAACTATATTATTGTGCGTTGTCTTGAGGTAAAAGAAAAGAAAGGAGTTTTTGATATGAAAATGCAAAGAGACGATGGAAGAAAATAACAAAACAAGAATGATGAGAAGAATTGAACAATTGGGTTAAGCACTCAAATTAGTTCGAGAAGTTGAATCGAGTCTTTTTCTTATTGCATAATCATTATTTTTAATATATTTTTGTGATTTCAAAAAGGTATCAAACTTGAACTTTGATCCAAGAGTTATTTTTGGTATTAAGTTTTATACCACACAGTTTTCTAAAGTTGAATATTGGAATATATTAGGCTAAAGTTTAATCCTTGTTTGACAAACCATTCTTTCAAAGCTTTTTTTTCTCATATTCACTTTCAATCACACATTCTCAAAATAAAATATTTTTTTACGTAAAATAAATTTTTTTCTACTTTTTAACTATATATTCTCCAAAAATTTACTTATCAGAAACTCATTCTTCCCAAAAAAATGGAGTTCAAACAGGGATGTGTCTAATTTTAGGATATTCTGTTGAAGTTCTAACAAAATTTTAGTACATGCATTTTACCATTGCTTTCATTGAAGAACATTTCAAGTACTAACGGTTCTTTGTTAATGTAACAGGGAAAAAATGGGAAGGTATGCTACAGAAGTCAGGAAATTAGGCATTGAGCTATTTGGTGCCATCATGGAGAGCTTAAACTTAAGCCCAACACACTTAAAACAAAATTTTGAGCACGGCGCGCAACTTATCGGCGTAAATTCCTATCCTTCGGGATCCGACGTAAAAGCAGGCACATCCGCGCACACGGATCACAGCATTATCACCATTCTTCTTCAAAGTTCCCCTGGCCTCCATATTTTGGACAGGTCGGATGGCGCATGGAAGAGCGTTGGCAAGATCGAAGGGGCATTAGAAGTCTTCGTGGGAGATCATTTGGAGGTAATAAGCAATGGTTTGTACAAAAGTGTATTGCATCGAGTCCTTCCAAGTTCGAATAATGGTTCTAGGTTGTCTATAGCTGACTTTCATAGCCTCGGAATGGATGACATAGTCGAGCCTGCTACAGAACTAGTCAATGAAGAACATCCAAAGAGGTATAAGGGGAGCAGCTTGAGAGACTTTCTCGAGCATCTTTCATCCAAAGACACGACACCCTTTATTCAGACGATCAAAATATAAAACGACTTTTTATAGTTGATGAGTATATGTGTAGTTCTAGCAATGTATCAAACGAGTAGGGCAAAAAGAATTAACGAGGTCGACTAAATTTACTTTGAATTGCACTTAATTTATCAGTGTTGTAATAAGAAGTTAAATGAAACGATTGATGTTACCCTTATACATGCTTCAAGTTGAACTTAATTTATTGGTCTTTTTTAATAGTCATGGAAGTTTAGCATGTGAATTTTGACAACTGCAGCGAAACATTTGCTAAGTTAGCCTTAGTATATGCAGAAATGATCTCTTAGGCACCGATACTTAGTTTATGTTAAACACCGATGACATGACACACCAATATCGGTTCTTAAGAGATCATTCATGTTAGCATATGTTAATGATAAAATATATGTTGTAATAAATTCATTAATAATTGGATTTTAATCTTTTTAAAGGTAATAAGATTTGTCTTCTTGTACTGTGGAAATGCTAAAAATATAAAAGCATATTTTTGGAACCCTAATTCTTTCCAAAATAAAATCGATAAGTAAATTATAGTTTAGTAATTTAATGAATCTTTGTTTCTTGATCATTTTGAATTAGATATAAACAAATGATTCGCTTAATCGCTTTTAAGCAAAACTCAAGGCATAATTTTTGAGAACTCATGATTTAGACAAATTTGACTGTTTAGAGAGGAGGTTCATACTTCATCACTTAATCAAGAAATTAAACTTTTTGGGGGATTAGGTTTGCAATTAGTATTTTTGTTTGTTTTTCTTCCTTTTTAGGGGCTGAATCATTTATTATTGAAATAAAATTTGAATATTTCAATATTGTCCAATTCTCAGTAAAATATTTGAATCAGCAAACTCCATTACCAATCTTAAGTACATTGTACTTAATTAAACCACAAATATTATATTCGTAGTCGGTCTAAATCGTTAAAGGAAACCTTTTTTAATTTATTATATAATAAACAAATCTTTCATTTCCATAAAAATTATATGGACACATTTTTCGACGTTCTCTGTTCAGACTTTAAAGTTGGACATTTACCATTTAAACCGCTTTTTGACGAGGGTTATTCTCCTTGGCGCCCCGGTTTGAATAGGGTCGAGGTGGCTCCATTCGAAGAGAATGATTCTCTTGACAATCAACAAAGTGATTCATCATGCTCAAAGATGAGTCGATCGTTCAATTTATAGATCATCAAATTCCCATTGGAGTGGTACGACTGAACCTGGGCACGGCACAGAGGAGGTGTTGCAATCGTGGTTGAGTTGCTTTCACTGGGGTCATTTTGTCATAAGTGGGAGAGCATGCGTGATACAGATACTCCTCTATGCGAATGACACCCTCTTTGGTGAGATTATATGAGCAAATGCTCGAACCAAAATATGTTATTTGACACGACCCGTCCCAAATCACCCTAGTGGATCCGAAATGTGACGTGTGCCGATAATAGATATTGACTAGATGTCAAATCTATCACCAAGGCTGACTATGAGTTATTTCAAAAAATGCAACAAAATCAAATGTTTATGTAAAATATAATGCGATGTGCTCAAAATATTTACTTCATGCTTCATCAATATGAGTTATAATATTCAACATGTCATGTGACTCTCATTCCGAAATCATTAGGCTCTTCCAACTAAAAGAAATCAATTGCTAGCTGTAGAAAAATTCGTAGAAAATATATGAGTTGATAACTCAGTGAGTAGAGAAGTTCGAAAATAATTATACTTTTTCAATTTTACATTTTTATCGAAAATCGAGTTTATATCATTTAATAATTCACAAGATAATATTATGTAATTATAATCAAAAGTGAAATATTCACATAAGGTCATAAAATATCATCTTAAAATCATGATATAAACATCAGCTGATAACCATGCTATAATCTTATCACATTAGACGTGCTGAAAAATCCACCAAAAATGTACCCTCTGATTGAAATATATAATCCGCCCCTCGGACTAAGAACTTTCGCCACGGGCCTTTGGCCCCTCCGTAAACGAAAGTCGATCTCAAAGACCTCTCATAATCAATTCTAGAACACGGCTAAGGCCCGTCAGTGAATTATATGTACACGATCGAGACTCCTTCATCCCCGATCCAAGGCCCCTCAGTGTAGTATAAAACACGACCAAAGCCCCTCAGTGAACTAGAAGAAATATATAATCACGGGTACTTTTCTGGTCGATCTCAAAATCATATCTCATATTCCAATTTACAATGTACTGTATACAATTTTTGAAATTCCACATGTATCATAATAAAAGATATTTCCATAATAACAATGTAATTCGAATATATAATTGCACGTACTTTAACAATAAACTTAATTTATAAATACTTTAAAAATATTTATATTTTTCCACTTACAATACTATGTTCGCAAAATCAACCCGGTTGGTAAACTGTTCTAATGTCAGTATCGTCGCCTGAAATACAATATAATTTTTAAATAAATAATTAATTATTTTAAATAATTTCAATAATTAAATAGGTGATACCCAAACTTAATCATTTCACGTTTGAGTGATTTCTACAGTCTCTTTAATAATTAAAACTAGTTTTTCTTTTACTTTACTCAATTTCATAGTTTATTATACTTAACCCGTTCAATAAAATTGAATTTAATCTAACAATCTAACAACTATAAAATCAAACATAACTTGATAATAATTAACTTTTTACTTACCTTTCAAAATTGAGAAATCAAGCCTAATAATGTAGACACTTAATTCCTAACAACATAGGCAAACTTTTCTATTCTTTCTTTTTTTTTTTTTTTTTTTTTTTTTTTTTTTTTTTTTTTTTTTTTTTTTTTTTTTTTTTCCTTTTTTTTTTTTTTTTTTTTTTTTTGCTTTCTTTTCTTTTTCTCCTCTTCCTTTTCTCCTTCTCTCCATTCTCGGCTTCTCTCACCTGTGCATTATGAAAATGGGTTTGGATTTGTATGGAATTGGATTGATATAAAAGTCAATCCATTTCCACCGTCTAACCTTTTATATATATATAAATTTATATTTTTTTTGTTATTTTTTTTCTTTTTGCCTCTCTCTCTCTTTTTTTTTTCTTTTTAAAGTATGGCATGATATGTTTGACTATCTTTTGTATATATACATATTTTATATTTGAGGTATTACATTATTGCTATGAGAGCTTGGGGGCCTAGCTTGTTTTAGGTCTTTCTCTTCCCCCGATGTGAAATAGTTTTTCGACAATTCTAATGGATAGTCATTGTGACTCGACCCGAGGCTTGGCATAGCTGGGAAATTGAATCTAGGTCAATGATCACTATGTCTTCTTCTGCCTTGGTCATTCTTTTTTCTACATACTCATTTTCAATCACATATTCACACAATATAATATTTTTAACGTAAATTCAAAACTTTTTTCTATTTTTAACTACATTATTCTAAAAATCACTATTTAAATTATGTTTTTCCGAAAATGACGATTGTCAAATAGGGGCTAAGTAATAATTTGGAACTTGGCTAGGCTTTAGCCCGAAAAATAAAGACCGAAGCCTCAAAGAGTTCAACTTAATTAGAAAGAATAGAATTGTATGTAAGACTAATCGATTAAAAAATAGTACACGCACAAAATGAACGACGGGGACAGTATATGTTTGTTTCATACTATTACACCTTAATGAATTATACAATAGACTATAATTTATTTACTTTACAAGCACATCAAAATTTTATCGACGACTAATCGTTAGGGTACTATAATATTAAAGATAATAATTGAATTATTTTTCAAAGAACTTTATCTTTTCTTAAAGAGAAAGACAACCCGGGTATGAGAAAATTGATGAGTTGACAGTGTCAATACATTCATGTTGGACATGGGCTGGTGCTTCACTATTAATTGGATTCCAACATTTGTTGATGGGCTGGATGTCTGTTGGGCCATAAGCTAATTCGATTCTTAAGACCCAAGATAAAACGTGTTTTCTAGTTAACATGATTATGACTTTTTGGTTGCTATTAATTTGGATCGTTCATCTGCCTTAGCCTCAGCCATTGGATCAGTGTGATTTTTGATGGTGTATATATATCTGTCTGTCTCTCTCTCTCTCTCTCTCTCTCTCTTCATGACGCTTGAGTTGTTAGTCATCTCTTGGATCTTCTAAGTTTTGTCTGTTCTTGAGAGTTTTGTTCTCTCATTCTATATATTTCACGTGTTTCTTATCGAAAAATCTCTTAGTGTAGATTGTGAGATTGTAGTGTAAGCAATCTTGAAGAGAATAGATTGTTTTAATATCTGTAATTTTGAGAGAGAGAGGCAAGAGAAAATTGAACAGACTTGTGCTCTCTTCAGACATTTGTACTGTTCTTGGGAAATTTCTTAGTGGAATCGAGCAATATCTACGTGTAGATGTTCAACGGGTGAGTAGGCTTTTAAACTGAACATCTGGGCCTTCGTGGCAAAAAATTCATCTGTGTTCATCTTTATTTTCTGCCATTTTTGTTTTAATCGCTCAATATCCGATTCTGAGACTAACAAGTGGTATCGGAGCACTGGAAAATATTTCGATAAAGTTTTTTTTTTTTTTTTTTTTTGGGAAAACTGTTCTTGTTGAAACCCTAAGTGTTTCTTTTTTAAATTTTTCTCTCAACGCTGCTCAACTGTGATTTAGTCAAATAATTGTTTGATTCAATTTCTGATTGGATCTTGAAACATTGAAAGTTTTCTTTTGAAACATTTCACTGTAAATCAACGGATCTTGGAAGTTTTTAAGTAAAAAACATAGTTTATTACGAATCTGAAAAACTTGGTGTTTTCTGAGTCTACAAACTAATTTTGACTCGTGACTCGCCACTGAGTTGGTATGGTGCTTTTGACTCGTCCTGAGTGTTGGTGAGTCGAGTTGACTCATTCCGAGTTTGTTGTTGCTAAGTGCTGAGTTCTGCTGAGTCATTGTGACTCGTGGTGTATTTGGTCATATTCCTCAAATTTCCTCACCGTTCTGATTCTCCCATTGCAATCTCTTACTGAAACCCTAAGGGTATTCAGCTCTGGTATAATCTTTTCACACTCATAACTTGTAGTCAGTAAGGTATACTATTTCTTGTGAAGGGTTGACGTGGTTATTAAGGAAATTGATCTACCACAACTTACCTTTTGTCTAAAATCTCCTGAGAGGATCTGGGAATTTGAGGGAGTTGTGGTTTCACAGGTCA